TTCTGGCTCACTGAATCTATAGTTGTACCTGCTTAACACACTGTGTGGTCCTTCCCTTTTCTCTTAGCTTAGAAAATGAACCTAGGATTTTATTTAAGCATATGGGTGTGTGTGCAAAGAACAGACTGAGGAGAGGAGTGGGGTAGGTTAAGAGTTCTAAGCATGTCCTTGGGAGAAGTTGCACCATGGAACTGAGCCCTCTTTTGGTAAATATTGACCGTTGCTAAATAGAGAATTGGAACCCTGGCTGTTTCGGGCAGCTGCTGCCATGATGCCCTGAGCTAACTCCACACATTTGTCTGGGCACCTGTGCCAGGCCTACTGGGATTAGCGTTGCCAAAGCCATTTGAAGATTTCACCAGAATACCAGGGGAAATTCTTGTGAGGTGTGAATTTCTGCCTGTATCCAGTAGAAAACAGAAAGGGTTAATATGACTTTGGCCTAAAGCTGTAAGGTATTCCTTAGTCATCTCCTATTTAGGTACTCAAGTTGCTTAGTACCTTTTAGGTTTAAACTGTCTTTCAATAATTATCTTGTCCAACTGGCAAAGTAAAATACACAATGCTTATGGCATAAAGCAGTTGGATTTCAAGCTAAAGTTAGTTCTCTTTTCCAACTATACCACCATGTGGAGCTGTCTCTCTGCCTCTCCCAGCAAAGGCAGATTCACACTCTGCCTGGCGGGTATCTTCAGACCCAGCTTTCAGCTGCAGACTCCTTTCCCCTCCTAGGGAAATAAAGCCACTGGGTGATCGTCTCTCTCTTGCTACCTCATCCTAATTTCAGGATCTGACTGAACTCACTATGGAATTATCTGCACCGTCCAAGAAACTGCCCTGGGCTTAGGTCTAAGTACACGATGTAGAGAGCTGAACTTCGTTGCTGAAGGTCTGAGAAAGGGATGTGAGGACTCAACAAATTAGAGATAAAGGTTGTCCCGCACACATTTTCAACGCTCAACCCTGAGTCTTCCTCAATCCCCTGAAACTGAAATGAATCACTGTTCACCTGAGCTCCCATTAAAATCTGCTTATATCTCTATCAGGCAACTCATGGGTCTGACTGACTTGCTTTATGGCTAACATGTAAATGCAGTCCACTTTCTTCATCAGACTAAGAGATCTTCAACAGGAGGGACTAGGTCTTACTGTGCTGTTGGAAATTCTAAACACTCCCCAATTCGCAGGACACCAATCTCCAAAACACCCAGATACTGAACTCAGGAGAATGGTTGGTTTGCTGGTTCCCTAGTGGTACTCATGAATCGCCAGCCTGCTGGCTAGCCCTATGGATTTTGGACTTACCAGCCTCCACAATCATGTGAGCCAATTCTTTAAAATAAAACTTTCTCTCCCTGTCTTTTTTCCTTTCTCTACTCGTCTTTCTCTCTCTCCCCATATGTGTGTGTGTGTATATTGTATATATGTTCTCCATAAAATTACATGTGTGTATATATAATTATATAAGTGTGTATATATATGTGTGCGTATATAATCATATGTTCTCCATAAAATTATGTGCGTTTCTATAATTATGTATGTGTGTATATATGTGTGCATATATACATACATGCATTTTATATATATATGTAGGTGGGGGGAGAGAGATTGGCTCTTACTTCTCTGGAGAACCCTGACTAAAAACAAGGATAAAGGAAGCTAGAAATATTTTTTTTTAATGTCGACAGCAATCCTTAATGGCCTATTCTAATTCAGGGTCACAGCACAGAATACCTTAAGGAAGTGTCTGATGGGAATCAGAGCTGGGGAGCTGAGTAAGAAGAGTCATGGCTTCTGTCTGTGGAACTCACAAGGCCGAGATGCAGGAGGCAGCGCCCTGCCACGGAGGCCAAACAGCAAGTGGCCTGCCTGAGGGTGAACATCTGAATGCACTGGGGAGAGGCTGGAGGAGAAGGAAGCCTGAAACACCAAGTGTGGGCGTGCGTGCGTGCGTGCGTGCGTGCGTGCGAGCGTGCGAGCGTGCGTGCGTGCGAGCGCCGGCACACTGCTGCCGGCCTCGCCTGTGAATGCAGAACGTGCCTTCCATAATCCCTTCTACCGCTCGGCCTCCCTCGCACACCAGCCACCCAGCAAAACACAGCCCCCATTCTGCTCAGGAATGTGCTCTGGGAAACTTAATCTAGCTGCTGAGTCTGGGCCAAATCCCCCATGGCATTAACCCAAGGACAGCACCCCTCTCTCCCGCCTTCCCGCCACCCCGTCACTGCCTCCTCCAAGTTTGGGAGGCTGTAGTTCCAGTCCACCAACTCCCTCTCCCCAGGACACAGACCCTCCAAGCCCGCTCTCCCCATTTCCAGCACTTCTCCATCCATCTTCTGGTCAGGCCCAAACATTTCTCTTCTGATTCATGCCTAAATGACAAGCCAATAGCTCTTGGTTTTCAAACAAGACTCGCCTGAGCTTCTGCACAAGCCCCCTCTTCTCTCACTGTGCCTTCTTGGGTTGCAACCAAACCATTCCCTTTGTCCTCACTGCCAACTGCAGATCCCTTTGAGCACCAGAGAAAGAAGGGGCCAGGAATTTTTTAAAAATAAAGGCTATAAATTGTCTCTCCTCACACAGATTCACCCTGAAGCAGAAGGAGGGCTCCAAAATAAATCTTCTGCTCTCCAGCTCTCCCGTTCTCCAAACAATGAGAGGTTCAGGCTGGCTTGCGATTAGGCCAAGTTAGGGAGTCTCCCAAGTCTTCACAGATGAGGGCTGACCATTTGCAGGTGAGCAAACCTCCTGGAGGAGCGGCATTGCTAAAGGCACAAAGGTTGCTAAAAGGCACCTCTCATTTGTAATAATGAACAACTGGCAATGGACCTAACTGCCCAGCCCTAGGAAGAGCATTCAGGACACTGTGGTAGAGCCACTCTGGGATGTTCTAGGGCCATGAGCAACTGTGCTCCTGCTCTGGAGGGGGACGGGGGACAGATTAACTAGGAGCATGCCAGAGCGGTGGGTACACGGTATGTACACGCGAAAAACACATTGGGCTGTTCACTTAACATTCGTGCGTTTTGTGTACTTTACTGGATGCATTTTATACTCAATAAAAAAGAAAAAGTAAATACGGTCATATGGCCAATGGAAAATGCTTGTCATATGATGTCAAAGGGGAGAGAATAAGGACAGAAACTGTATATTCAGTAGTGTAAAAATATAGGTAGGGACGAAGACCAGAAGGGTATACTCCAAAATGATGATGGTGGTTGTACAAGGACAGTGGGGAGACATTATGTTCCATATATTCTAAACTTTCTAGAGAGTCAATTGAATTATAATTTAAAAATCTACGAGAGAAGTATGATGGTAAGAAGTGTAGCTCCGGCCTCAGCCCTTCTTGTTATGATGAGATGACCCGTCACCCTCCTCACCCAGCTCTCCCAGCACCCTCCCCCAGGCCACCAGCACACCTGGGGGGAGGGCCCAGCAGGTGGCCCAGGGCCTGCCTGCCTCACTGAACCCGAACCCGAACCCGAACCCTAAGCCTGCTCCCCAGAGGTCTGGCACTCAGATCCAGTGAATGCTGCTACAGCCACAGAGGCAAAGTGGCTCCAAGATGCAGCCCAGGCTTGGCCTCCCCCACTAGGGAGGTAGCTAGGGACCCACCCTGTCTTCCAGCCTCCTCTGAGAAGAGGGCAGGGCTGCTAAACTGGTTCCCCGGGAAACAGGAATAGTCTCTATTCTCCCATGGGAGTGAAGTCCCTCTAGGGATCTGGAAACCAGAGGGCAGGGCGGGGTCTTTTCTCGCCTGCTTTTCTACTCCCCCTTCTCTCACCACTTTTTCCCCAGGACTCAGGCCTCACACCTCAGGGACCCCAGCTGACGCTTAAGGAGCATCTTAGAAGCTGGCTGCCTTAGGTGTGACCCGTAACATAAGGACCACCAACCTCCTGGAACCACATGGTCCAGGAGGGTGATAACGACGGTGACATGGAAGCAGGGCTGTCCGGGATAAAGAGGCACAGCTAAGTCGTGAGGGAACAAGCTCAGGAGACCTTCTAAAAGGTTAAGCCCAAACACCATGGGACTCTCAGCAAGATCCCGTTTCCTAGGCTTCAGCCACCAGGAAGGGGAGGTAATTCTTAATACTGTTGACCTTGAACAACATGGGTCCACGTGGCTGGGGATCTTTCCCCCCACAGTAAATACCACGGCACTGCATGACCTGAGGTTGGTTGGACCTGCGGATGCAGAGGTTACGAGTTATATGCCAATTCTCGAGTGCCCAGAGGGTCGGCGACCCTCACCCTGAATTGTTCAAGGGCCAAGTGAATGTCCTGGCTATAGACTCCACATATAAGAGCAGGTGTTGCGGCTGCGCTTCCAAGATAAGCCTTTGGAAGTCAAGTCTCCTTTCCCATACGTACCATGGGTAGAAAATCAGGTAATGTGTGTATTGAGCTTGGGTGCAATAGTGTACCCAAGTGGTAATTATATATAAGAGTAGCACGAAGTCTTCTCCTGGCATCCTCCTTGGACCAAAGTGTCGCCTCATTTTTTCCTCTCTATCCTCCGTCCCACAGTTTTCCTTTTCATTGTGTTCCACTACTTCTGTTTCAGGAATTTAGACTATGCCTGCCCCGCAGAGAGGCAGGAGGCCAAGGGGGAATGGGCGGGCTCTGTTCGGACCACACGTGGCCCTGTACATGCTCTGACTGCAACTGCTGCGAGGATGGGGGGCAGGGGGCGCAACGACATCGAAGACCACAGGGCGACCAAGTAGAAAGGCACGGCGTTGCCCAGCTCTGGGGCCCACAGAAACAGTTCAACCATGTCAAGTTTCCTTCTTTCTAGACGCTCACTCCAGACACTGCCTCTACTCAGAGAGCACAAAGGTCCCCAGCCACTGGAGATTACTGGGCAGCCACCACTCTCTGATTGGAAACGTCAGCTGGCAAGGCCCCTTTTATGGTGGGACTGATGACAGGGGGTTTGATTGGGGTGGGGGACAGAGAGAGAATGGGAGGGGGCAGAGGAGCAGTACTCACTAGCTAGTGTCACGGTGGCTGGCACACTGGCCACAGCCCCTGCAGGCATCCGGGCCACACACTGGTACCGTCCCACAGTGTGGTTGCTGAGGGCAGTGATGACGAGGGTCCCGCGGGTGATGAGGACGCCCAGGGCATCATCCGAGCCATTCAGCTCCTTCCCGTTCAGGCGCCAGGTGGTGTTCATCCAGGGGGGCTCCACCACGCAGCCCAAGATCACGGTTCCTCCGAGCTTCTGGACAGTGGAAGAAGGCTGGACAGTGACCTGAGGGACCTCGTCTGGAGGAAGAACAGGGATGGAGCGATGAACTGACACCCCCAAGAAACCAACAGCATGACCTGCTCAGAAGCACCGTACCCAGGCAGCCTTTCAGAGTTGAGCAACCCAGAGAGGAGTTGACCTTTCTCTGAAGAACTCTGCTGACCTCGGGTCCATTTCCCCAACCTGGCCTTTTCCCCAGAAAGTAGACTGGAGTGGCAGTGTGGTGTGAAGGCAAGAGCTCAGGCTTTGGACCTGAACAGCAGCTGTGTCTGAATCCCAGTGCCACTGCTTCTGAGCCAGGGAACTTTAGCCTTTTGGGGTCTCAGTTTCTTATCTGTAAAATGGGACTAATAGTATTTGTCTTGCAGCGTCGCTGGGAAGGTGACAAACAATGCATGTAAACTGCCTGCTGTAATGCCATATAGTTAAGTGCTCAATAAAAGGTAGCTCAGTCATTATCGTTACTCCTCCCTAGTATAAGTTTCAAATGATTAAAATACCAAAATACAACCAATATGATGTTATTGAGATCACTTCTCATCTTGTATTATCGAGCGTATCCCTGAAGGTCAGTGGGAAGGAAATGCTCTTTGAAATCCAGGAGGAAGGAGGCCTTTTTAGAGGGTCCTTGTAGAATGCTTGATGCTTCCCTCTGACACTACGGGCAAAGTGTTCTTCCCAGAAGGGCCACTGAGAAGGCAAGGAAAACACTCACTCAGGTTTGCGAAGCAGCCGGCCATGGCCAAGAGGAGGCAAGCAAGTGTGACCTCGGACCTTTTTCCTCTCTGCGTTATCATCATCCCACGCGACATGGTGTGTCAACGTCCCATAAGCCAAAGGAGTCACTCAAAGAGGTACCGCAATCCCCTGCTACACTCTTGTGAAAAAGAGAGAGAAACGGCTGTGGTAAGAATGCCTGGAGCACCCCTGTGGTAGCCATGGGGCCTGGCTTTGTCCCCATGCCCCTGCTTCCATCACACAGGTGGTAACATTCAAAGTCTTGACCTGGCCAGCTGTTGGAAGACTAAAGAACACTCTCATGCCATTTGTCATCTAACATAAGCTGCTTCCAAGTTGCCCCTTTGAGCTAGAAGGTGATGTCATGATAACAAGGCCAGAGCCTTGCCCAGTGCACCCATAGCAACAAGGACAGGAGAGCCCAGGACATGGAGAGGCGGAGACCGGCAGCCATGTCCCAGGCTCAGGGCAGTGAGTAGCCAGCACAGATGCTGGAAAGGATGCAGTTATCTTTACCATTTGCTTGCAGGAGGCTAGGTGCCCAGGGCTACGTGGCACACCATGCTGCTAGTTTAGACTACTGTGCACAGTGCTGTCATAGTATACTGAATGCATGCTGCATCCCTCATGTAGGGGATGTTACTAATTAATGAATCCTACAATCTCAGAGGCTCATGAAAGATCTCCTGTTTTGACTCACCCCAGCTCTTCACCTACATCCTTGTCAACATTCTTTGATTTCCTGGAACCTACCAACCCTCCTCAGCTTGTCTAATCTCTGCAACTCCAGACACAAACACAGACAAAAGTCACACTCAGCCAAGGCCCGTCTTCTCCTCTCCGTCCCCTAGTGCTGAAATTCTGGTATTTTCCATCTCTACAAAATCTGTACTTTTCTTTTAATAGACAATTTCATTTTTACCTTGGTCTTCTGCGAGATCATTTTTTTTTTCAGAGGCTCTCCTTTATACACATTCTTTTTGGCCCTGAGTCCTAATCAGATTATTTTAAATTTTAGTGACATAAAATTTTCACATTGTGAAACCCACATCTTGAGTGCATATGCCTAATACATTTTTTAGAAATGACAGAATTAAAGTGGAAATTAGGCAGTTTTATAATCATAGTGGCAATTGTTACACTCCCCTGGTAATAACTGATAGAACAGTTAGACGAAAAATTGTAGGGATACAGAAGACCTGAATAACAATGTCAACCTTCCTGATCTAATTGACATTCATTAATCATTAGAGCCAACAACAGTATTCTTTTCAAGTGCATATGGGATGTTCACAAATGCAGACCAAATATTGGGCCATAAAATTTCAAAAGACTGAAATCTTACAGAGTATGTTACTTGGACACAATGGAATTAAATTAGAAACCAACAAAACAAGATATCTACGAAAGCCCCAAATATTGGGAGTTAACACATTTCTAAATAACTTATATATCAAAGAAGAAATCAAAGGAAATTAGAAAATACAAAATCTGCACTCTTTTGACAGCTTGCTGTGTTGCATCTCCACCCAGAACATTTCCTTGGGGGTCTAGACTGTACTGCTCCTCTAGCCGCTTGATGACATATCTCGGCTATCAGCCACCCTCTTATTGCCTGCCTAGAACTTTAATTCCGCCCCTTCTACAGTATTCTTTCTTTATGCCTCGTTTAAGCTATGGTGTTTAAAAGATTCATCAAAATCACAAAGAGGCAAATGTACACACATTTCTGTCACAGCCGAAACCAAGATCTTGCCTCTGTGTTTTCACTGCTGTACCTATAGGACATGAGACCAATGAGGAAGGTGTGCCAACACCCTGCTAGGCAGGGAGACAGTACAGTAAGATTCAGGTAACTGAAGGCAGCATCACAATGATCTAGACAGTGGATGCATATTCCTGAATCGTGCACATGCGGCAATAGTAATAGTATATTTCCAGGAGGGTGACGTATACTCAAAATGTGAACACTTTTGGACCAGTTTATCTAAACCAGCGACTCTTTCAAAAACTTACAGTCACCACTGAAAAATCATAGGAGGTAGTTAAGCTGCCCAGCTGACAGCTGTGTTACGCTCTCCAGTCTCTGGAGTTTTGGCTTCTTGTACGGTCTGTTGTAAGAGCCGGTCTTGGGCCTCTCAACACCCATGGCTCCTTTCACAGAGGACTGAGGCTGGGCTTCGAGTTGAGATTTGCCTAAACCTCTCCCTTCGCCAAGCTCCTCTGGCTTTTCACCTAGCTACTTAGAGAGTTAAGAGGGCTACACTGCTTTGCCAAACAAGCACCCCTCCAAACCAGATCTAGGGCCTGGCCCCACACTGATGTTTGGAACGGTTTCTAGGGCAGAGTCCTTTCCCCTTGATTTTTTTTTTTTTTTTTTTTTTTTTTTGGTGCGGGCCTCTCATTGTTGCGGCCTCTCCTGTTGCAGAGCACAGGCTCCGGACACGCAGGCTCAGCTGCCACGGCTCATGGGCCCAGCCGCTCCGCGGACTGGGGCACGAACCCGTGTCCCCTGCGTCAGCAGGCGGACTCTCAACCACTGCGCCACCAGGGAAGCCCTCCCCTTGATTTTTAATCCTTCCCTTTGTCTCGTGTCTTCAACATCAGAGGACCTCCACTCTTCTGGGGAAGAACAAGGGGACATTTTCTAAAAGAGGTTTGAAAGAAAAATTTTAAGTTTTTCCTGACAAGTTTTTCCCTCTTGGGGTAGAGAGAGCTTTTGCTCTTTTCCAGACAATCCAGGAAATCAAAGCGTCATGTGTCATGTTATTAGCAAAGTGAAATTAAGGGAAGCTGCAAAGGATGTGAGTATGGCAGGGGAGGGTAGCCGTGGTGGGAGGGAGGGCACACCTGTTACCACCATAGGTATCTTGCTAAGCTCTTTGCACAAGGTATTCTTTTAATTTTCAGAACAACTCTACATGGTGGGGACTATTATCCCCACTTTACAGGTGAGGAAATTGAGTTCCACAGGGTAAGTAACTAGCCAGAGGTCATATAACTGTAGGCCTGGAATGAAACCCAGGTTGGGCTCATTCAAAGTTCTGTGCTTTTAACCACAATAGTAGCCTTTTCATGTTTTTTTTTTTTCTACCAGCCCTCTGCACCAAGTGGGTGCTTGACGAACAGAGCTGGAATAGGGTGAGGTAGAACAATGAGGAATTTTAACAGTGGTTTCTTAATCACTGTTCATTAAGTTCATTAATATAGTTACAGACAAACACCAAAAAGCAAGCCTTTGGTGTCCCCTCCATCATCCAGATACTAGCTTTAATTCTCTACTTTCCCCCAATGAAATAACATATTTATCTAGAACGCTGCATGAATGACCAGTTACAGGATTTTAGGGAACTTGCTTGCTCATGCCGTGTTCCTCTTTCCCCGGCTCCTTGAGGAGATTGCCCACACCTGCTCTACCCCTGCCCCAAGAAAGGAAGGAAGGAAAGGAAGGAGGCAGCAGGGAGACAGAAATGAATACAAAGTAATAAAGGGCAGAGAGAAGACAAGCAGACAAAGGGACAGAAGGCCTGTTTCTTATCCCAGCACAGAGTGGCCACCGAGGTGTTTGGGTTGTAAAGTCGACAAAGGTTTTACTGAGGAAATTCAGCCCAGACCCCCTCCTGCTTAACGAGGTCCAGCCAAACAATTCCTGTTACTTCTGCACCCTGGGTAATTTATAAGGTTCAAAATGGAAACAGACCCCACTACTGCTGCCAGCCACCATCCTGCTTTTAAAGGAGAAAAAAATGTAGCTGAGGAGGGAGAGGGAGTGAGGAAGCAGGTGTCCAAAGAGGGAGAAAGGAGTTAACTCATGAACTCCCACAACAGAGTTGTAAGCAGATACCACTCAGTGAGCCCAAAGCAGGACACATGGGGTCTCCGTCACGGCAAAGCAGAACCGTGACAAAAATACAGAGGCGGGCCGGGGTGGGGGGGGTGGGGGTGTGTGTGCGGGGAATCACTGTAGCTATGATGCATCTTATTTAGCAGCTGGGGAAACTGAGCTGCCTCCTGGAGGAAGTTACCTAGCGAGCTTGGTCTAGAAAAATAGTTTCAAAAATGCAGGTTTCTGAGAACATTTTTTTAATAATAAAAAAAGGCAAGTAGGGCTTAATTGGAGTACCTAACTGCAGTGTAACTTTGTCCCACTGTGAAATGAACAAGGTACAATTTCACAAGCGGTGAAGGCAGCAGTAAGGCCTGTTATTTTTCTTGGCAATGCAAGGTAGGTCTAGATCCTTCTTATTTTTTCTGCATATTCTCAGAAAGAGATCAAGAAAAAAAAATCAAGAGCAGAGAGAAGGGAAAACGAATTCTTGACATGAATTCCTCATTGAGGTCTAGGTACTTTCTATTTTTAAGGGTTACTTGGACACAAAAAATAAAAGAAAATGCATCTGAGAAGTTGAACTGCTGACATACACGTTCCCACTGAGATAATCTCCAAGCAGACGTTTTTAAAACTTTCCAAAAACAACAGCAGCAGAATACACGTCTAAGGTTGAGACCAAGCACTAGAAATTACAGCCTTAGAGTATTTATTTTGCGAGAGAAAATTACAAACAACTGAGAGTCGATCATCAGCAGGAGTAGGCCAGCTCCACCTTCTCCCAAGAGGGCTGGCGGGCTGGCAGGAACGAGAGGGAGGCAAGGGCACCCAAGGCCACATCTCATTCCCTGATCACCCAGGCCACTACAGCTCTCTGAGACAGAAGCCTCCACGGTCTAAAATGCCAAACACACCCTGTGGATGTCCTATGATCACTAACAAGATGAGCTACACAGAAGAGCACGTGATCTAGCAGGTAGCACAGAGAGTCTTTCTTAAAAAAATTCTTCCAGGGGCTTCGCTGGTGGCGCAGTGGTTGAGCGTCCGCCTGACGATGCAGGGGACACGGGTTCGTACCCCGCTCAGGGAAGATCCCACATGCCGCGGAGCGGCTGGGCCCGTGAGCCACGGCCGCTGAGCCTGCGCGTCCGGAGCCTGTGCTCCGCAACGGGAGGGGCCACCACAGTGAGAGGCCCGTGTACCGCAAAACAAAACAAAACATTCTTCCAGTGGCAAGAATGAAAT